TCAAACACTAAATGGTTGAATTGAAAAATAGTAGAATTAGCATCATTATTATCATTTATATTTCTATTAATATTTATTACAGTATTAATAATAGTTACATATTTGTTTAAAAAGAGATTATTCAAATTAAAAAAGCAAAAAATATTAACAACAGATATAACACCAAGAATACATAGTGTTTAAAAAAATACTACGAACCCACTGTTCTCAAGTTAAAACACTAATTCTAACTGAACAATGAAATAATAATCTGAATCAATATTGATTATATTATTTTTGTAATCAGTAAACCATATTTTTATTTTTTGTTTATTGTCTTTGATTTCAAATGATGTTTGATTATCACTGTTAGCAAAAATTATAAATCCATCTTGTGAAGGATAATCATTACTAGTATTCAAATCACTTCTTAAAATATTTCCACAATCAATCTGACCATATGAATTATAGAATCTAGTAGCAATAGTATTAATACATTTATTATTAGTAGAACAAACAAATTCAATTGGTAATTCAACTTCAAATTGATATGTATTTATTACTTTGCAATTATTATTATGTAAATTCATGTATAATTTTCTCATTTTATAGAACAAAAATAAAACTAATATATAATTTATTTAACTGCGATACCAGCTTTTAACGCTTCTTTAGTTACTAATTTATCAAGTTTATATTGTGCTTTTGATCTAAGTTCTTCAATATCTTTTGTTGTATTAATTTCTTTTGATGATTTTTTCATTTCTGAGATAAGAATACTGTTCTTTTTCTTATTCATAATATCTGTATAAATTTGATTTAAATATTTTTCACTCATTGATATAAATTGTGTTGATATTTGGAATATTAGATTTTAAATTATCTATCAATTGTTTATATTCTTCATAACCTCCAGCAAAAGATGATGAAATACCTTTTATTATTTGTTTAAATATTACTGTATTAGCTTCATTATTAATAATTCCAGGTAATAATGAAGACATTAATTGATCAGTAATTTTTTATACCAATTATCACTTTTTATGAAATTTAATTATACTTTAAATACCGGTGATAATATATTTTCTCCAAAAAGTATTGAATTAATTACATTTCTAATTACTTGACTACTTAATGAAATATATTCAGGATTTAAAATTTTAGATAAATATTCTCTAATTTTATAATCTGTAGTATTAAGTTATTTTGAAAATCCACTACCTTGACCAACTCTTGCATATCCTTCGACATTATCAGAGACTGGTAATAATCCTAGATAATTTAAATAAGGAACTTCTTTTCTTTGAAATTAATTGTATTGGTCATAATAATTCTTTTAATATGGTCTTTGTGAATTACCTGGTTTTGAAACATAAAATTCATTAAAAGCTTTAATACAATTTGTATTGTCTACTCCAACATAATCATCAATTTGATCTCCATCTAAATCATACTTATAAGGAGTTAAATTATTATTGGCACAATAAACACGAAAAGCTTTTGGGTCTAAATGTTCTTTATTGTATTTAAATTGATTTTTATCACCAGAAAGATCTGTACCACCCAAATTTATGTATTTAGCACTAACATCACCTGTTTCCATAGTTGAAAAATCGATAACATCTTGATTATCATATCCCTTTTTAATTCCAAAATTATCAATTTTTGGTGCTAATTTTGTTATGCCATATCCTTTGTCATAAAATTCTTTACTCATTTATTATGAAAAAAATAATAATTTGAAGTTAAATAATTAATAAATCATGTCTACTAAAAGTCTTTTCTAATAAATATCTAGATACAATTTTAGATTCGTAATTATCATTATCTTCATTATAAATTTCATAATTATTTCCATATGGAAAGGCAATTTTCCAATTTTTAGAATCAATATATTTATTATTTTTTCTTAAATTTCCATCTTCAATATCAAATAAAATAACATCTTCCTCATTGTCAAAATCATATTTTGATTTTTTTAATTTATTTTGTATTTTTTGATTATAATGTTGACAATATGATATAATTATTCTCTCTAACATTTTATCATTTTGTATCTTATTTGGTGTTATATATTTTGGATCAATATAATAAAAATTATATAATTTTTTACATTCTTAAATTATTTTTACTAAACCATTATGACAACTATTATTATAATATTCAACCAATTTATAAACTTCTTCTGTAGTAGGTGTTGGAGTGATTTTAGATTTATTTCCTTCATTAATTAATTGACGTATTTTAGTCATATATTGAAGTAATTCTTTTAGTTTCATGTTTTGAAATGATATAGAATTAATTATATTTTTATATTCATCATCATTTTAAATATAATATTTGACGTATAACCTTCTAATAGTTCTACATAATTATCAATTAATGCTGTACTTGTATGTATCTTAGGTGCTGTAACAAATAGTATAAAATTGTGTTTATTTGCATATTCACCAAATTCTAAAGAAGATATTCCTCTTTCTCCATCAAATATTAAATTATTCATAATTAAACCTTGTTCAAATAATTTATCAAAACCTTCAATTATTGAAATAGTAGATTTATCTTCAATTTTAATGACATAACTATATCTAGTATTAACATTAATACCAATAAGATATGGGCTTAATAGAGTATTTTTATGTATTCTGTGATCAAAATCTATTTTTACAGATGGTTTATCATATTTTTGTTGAGATACTCGTTTATATTTATCAGAAAAAATATAAAATATCGAACGTATATGTATTAGGTGAAGCAACAAATTTATAGGCAATATTCTTATTGTAAAATGAATATTTAAGGTGGTGATGGTTTAAAATTATTAGAATAAATTATATCTTTGTTATTGTAATAAGTATATATATTTTTATCTAATGATGGAACATATTGATTCATATCTACATTAAATAATTGTTTGATTGTTCTATCTTTTTTAATATAATTAATCGGTGGATAAGTAGCTATGGTAGTAGTTGTACCTTGTGGATTAATAGTTGGTTGTGGTCTTATTTCAGCATTTAATTCTAATTCTGTAGATTGAATTATTTGTTTATCTTTTGATTTATGTGTATTTAATTATTTGTTAATTTCATGATAACCAGTTGGAACTTGCATTTTAGTTATACTTGTATTTATACTTCGTTTGTTATTAATGTATATAACATATATATCATTTAATAATTTTTGTGTTCTATTATTACTAATAATAAAATAATAATAAATACCAGTATAAAAAATTTTAAATTATGTTTTGAGTCAGTATTAGGATGAACCCCATATAATTTATCTCTATTATTATATGCATATTCTATTTTATTTTTATAAGTATTATAAAATTTAGATAATTCTTGTTCCTTTGAAAGAGACATTTATATTTTTTAAAATGAACCTAATTCAGTATTAAATATAATATTTCTACAGAATTGAGATCTCGATTTAATTTAAAAATCTTTAGTAAATTCAAATGATGGTCAAAGTTGTAAAAGATTAAATTTAAATGATTCTCCATAATATAGTTTCTTATATAATTCTAACGGATCTTCATATTGACAATTTAATAAAATATTATGAATATCTTTTAATCTAAGATGATGAGCGACTTCATTCTTCTCATTAGATAATTTATCACAATAAGCCTTTTTACCTAAGAAATATGATTCAATACTAGTAACATCTCCAGATAATTCATCAAAATCTGGATGAAATTGTCCCATATCAGAACCTCTAAGTACTCTATTATATTTTTTAAAATATTCATCTTCTAATTCAGTAATTCTTGATTTTAATATATGCATACTATCGGTATCTTGATAATAAATTGGAATATTTAGATCTTCTGCTAAACACATAACTTCATTCATAATACGTTTTGACATAGTAAGAGTTTGAACTCCAATAAGATTTGGAACAAAAAAATCATCAAAACTTTTATTACATTCAAAGCATCTAATATTTTCAGCAACATCATAAGATGATTTAACTAATAATGAATTCTTTCTTAAATATCTATCAGCATCATATTGTATATCTCCTTTATTATTTTTAACAGATATTTGTTTATAAACAAGATCAGTTTTAATGGGTTTTTGAATAGTCTTACCATATGATGAATTCATAATTAACTTAAATACTTCTTGAACTGGATTACCTTGTTTTTTGAAATCTCTTCTTAAATTATACAATTTAGCCATCTCTTTAGATAATAAGTCAGACTTATTACCAGTCCAATAATAGCCTCTAATTATTTTATATTCAATCTGTTGAAATTTAATAAGATTTTCTAATAAAATATTATCTACTCTCATATTAAAGGGTTCATTACTTTTGTGATTTCCTTCTTTAGTCTTTTTAACAATCAATGGAAAATGTAATTCTTTTTTTTTCTTTTGTAATTTCAATATCAACAATAAATACTGAAATAAATTATAATTCTGTAGGCTCTAATTGTTGTTCTTCCATTAAATGTTCTAATAAGTAGTTATTTTGTAACATGTCTTCAGTAATAACAATTGGAGAACCAGTTGCTAATTTTAATCTATTAATAGCACTTAGATATAATGAACAAGCATCATTATCATACAATTCATCATTTACATACCACTTTTTATTATCTCTAGTCATACATCTACCTCCATAAATAGCTCCTTGAATAAATTCTCTAACTTTACCACCATATTCTTTTAAATTATCTATCTTTGAATATACATTATGTTTGAAGTAAGTATTAGCTAGACTAGCTGCTGAAATTACTTTATCGACATCAATATTTAAATATTCTAAACACATATCTCTAAATATAGAATGACCTTGTTTTAAATTTTTAACATCTTGATTACAGTAGAAAACACAATAAGCTTTCATATCAGATTGAAATTCATAAGTTTTACAATTTTCAATTTTATCAATCTTTTCATTAAATAGTTCAAATTGTTCTTCAGTCCATGGTTTTATTTCATATTTATCAGCTTCTAATATAGTACCAATATTATTTTCGATATTAACCTTATTGAAATAGTTATATGGATAAATCTCTTTTTGAATATTAGATAAATCAAACATCTTTGGAAAAGATGCTAATGATGTAGAATTTAAAGCATAAGAATCTTTAAAAGTTAATTGTTTACCTTGGAATTTAAGAGTCATTTGCATGATTTTACCTGATTTCTTAATACATCTATTAACACCATATCTAGCAAGGAATGAACCATCATATTTAAGATTATGAAAATAACAAACAGCATTATGAGGTAAATCACATAAGAAATCATAAGCACAATCTTTGCCATATTTATTATAAATTTTATCTTCACCTCTTTTAGAATAACAAACACGATATGGATTATGATAACCTTGAGTAGAAGCTTCGAAATCAGCATACCAATAAGAGTGATTTATTCCTTTACATTTATTTACTTCAACATTTCTTGTTTCAAAAGGTAAGTATTCAAGTGTATTTAATGATTGTAATACATATTCAGATAAATCTGATTTCAAATGTAAAACATCAGAAAGAGAATAAGGTTCAAATCTATTATGATCTCTAATATAAAGAATTAGATCAGATAATTTGATAGAACTGCTATTTTTATCTTTAACTTCATAACATTGTTTATCTCTATTATATCGTTGTTTATTAAACATAGATTCTATACTTTTATTATGATCATTGCAT